CTACATAGAGAACCTATACTTTAATAAAATAGGAAATTCAGAAGAAATTGATAAATGTATACATGAACTACCAAATTGGAACCAAGAAGATATAAAACTAAATAATCCAGTATTATTATCAAGAAGTAATAATAATAATGAAACAACTACCGACTAAGGAAAGCCCTGATCCAGACAGATTCTACTGAATTCAACAAGAACTTTAGGGAGGATCTAATACCAACACTTCTCAAACTCTTTAATAAAGTTGAAAGAGAAGTACTCTCATGTCATTCCAGACAGCAAGGATTACCCTGATTGCAAAAACAGAAAAGAACCCAACCAGAAAAGAGAATTACAGACTAATCTACTTAGTGAATATAGATGCAAAATTACTCAATAAAATACTGGTAAACAAACTACATCAAATCATCAAAATCATCATAAATTATAACCAAGTTGGATTCATTCCAAGGATGCCTCAAAGGCTCAACATATATAAATCAATAAATGCAATATACCACATAAACAGAAATAGGACAAAAAAAATACAATCATCTCAATAGACACAGAAAAAGTATTTGAAAAAATCCAGCTTCTATTCATGATAAAAAAAAAAACTGAAGAAAATAGGGAATAGAAGGTCTTTATCTCAGTCTGCTAAAAGCCATCTATAATAAATCAATGGTCAACATCATATTAAATGGAAAGAAATGAAAGTTTTCCCTCTAAAATCAAGAGCAAGACAAGGACATCTTCTATCACCATTCATGCTCAATACAACTCTCAACACTTTAGCTAGAGCAGTTAGACAAGAGAAAGAAAGAAAATGATATGGATAGTGAAGAAGTTAAATTATCATTTGACATGATCCTGTACATCACAGACCTCAAAAACTCCACCCAAAAGAATTTTAAAATTCTAGATAGTAGAGTATCAGGGTACCAAGTCAACACTCTAAAATCAATAGCATTCCTGTACACCAATAACAAGCTCACCTAGACAGAAATAAAATGAACACCTTTTGCAATAGCATGAAGAAAAATGAAATACATATAAATTAATAATCGAGAAAGTGAAAAGATCTCTACAATGAAACTACAGTACTCTGCAAGAAGAAACTGAAAAGGATTGGAAAGACACCTTCTGTTCCTGGATAGGCAGAACCAACATAGTCAAGGGATCATACTTTCAAAACTGTTCTAAAGATTTAATGCAATACAGATCAAAATCTCAATAACATTCTTCACAAAACTAGAGAAAGTACTCCTAAAATTCATATAGAACCAAAAGAGACCTAGAGTAGCAAAAGCAAATCTGGGCAAGGTAGGGAACATCACAATCCCAGACTTAAATGCATAGTACTAGGCAAAAAAGGGAAAAATAAAACAGACTTGTAGATCAATAGAACAGAAAATTCAGAAACAACTCTACATGCACACTCATCTACTTTATCTTTGACAAAGAGGTCAAATACTTTTTTCTGGAGAAGATGATGTCTTTAACAAACAGTGCTAGGAGAACTTCTATCCACATGTAGAAGATCAAACCTAGAATCATATCTCTTAACTTAACTAAAATCAAAATAGATCAAAAATCCAAACATGTGAAAAGAAACACTTAATCTCCCAGAAGACAAATTAAGTAAAGCTCTTGAAGACAGATACAGACTTTCTGAACAGAATCCCAGTTGCACAAGAAATGATAATAAGAGTCAACAAACAGGATCACACTAAATTAAAAGGCTTCTGAATAGAAACTCATGTTGAGTATAGATGTCAAAACAGGCACAGCTAGGGATATAGCTCAGCAGCACAGCATCTGCCTGACAAGCGCAAGGTCCTAAGTTTGATTCCTGGTTAAAAAAAAAAAAAAAAAAAAAGAAAAAAAAGAAAGAAAGAGAGAAAGAATAGAAAGCAAAAGAAAAGAAAGCAGGTACATAAGAACAGGTTGCCACAGTCTTAATTTTTCCAATTCCTCCCTTTTTTGCCCAGAAGTAACTGGGAAGATGTAATGTGAAAAGCCCAGGCTCAAAAGTGAAAGGATAAAGTTCAAGTTCTAGCTCTTTCACTTCTTAGAATTAAAACCTTCTAAGCCCTTAGCCCTCTGAGCTACTTGACTTTCTCAACTACATGAGGAAAAATGATGGGAGTTCATTTCTCAGAAGCTATCCTGAGCACAAAATGAGCTTGCAACTGGAGAAAGTCCCAATGGACCTGGTCAATACAACAAGGATGGCTGAAATCCAAGGATGTGTGTGATCAGTTGGCTTCTGAGATTCAAGTTCTTCTATTATCCAAAAGGGGCAACAGTCAGTGAATACTGAGGGGGATATTTGAACTCCTAGATGCAGTGCCAACACATCACAGATTTTCAATCAATGAAAGCTATCAAAGTGGTCACCAAGAGTTCCTTCCATAGTCCATGATTCTCTGGGATTTTGTGGTAGACACAATTCTAGATAAACAATTTAGAACAACATGTCTATAAATCCTGACTTCACTTCCATATGTATATACTAGCAGCAGCAGCAGCAGCAGCAGCAATTTAAGGGTCAAAGTGTACCAAGTAAATGAACAGAATTCTCTTACTGAACAAACTACCTAACCACAGTTCTTCTGTTCAATAACTGTGCCCAGAGGAGTGACTAAGCAGATATGACCACCTGTGTGAAAGAAACATCCTTACAGGCATTAAGGGAACGCAGAGTGCCACCAGCTCAGAATCCCTGCCGCCCACCAGGCAGGGACTGGGCATCCCAAGCACAACCTCCTCACCTTACAGCAGCCTAGGCTTCCTCACAGATGCTTAAGAAAGTGGGTCCATGATGGTGACCCAGGATCTGGAGGCACAAATATGTGTCCCTATAGCTTACACTTTTCCTCCAAATCACTCTAGGTTGTTTATGTCTTGGCACTTTCTGTGTCCACTTACACACCATTCTGTATGTCTTATTATGTTTATGAATTATGTCTTAGCTAGGTTTCTCTCACTGCCAAGGCAAAATACCCAACATCCAAAGTTAAAGGGAAAAGGTTTATTTAGCTCACAGTCTGTAGAGGTTTCAGTTCATAACTGGCTCACTCCAAGGCAAGGTGGCTTGCAGAGGGGCACTGCAGGCAAGCAGAAGGCCACAAAGGCAAGGGACAGCCAGGCGCTTTCCAGCTTCCATGTCTTATGCAGGCTGCTTGGGGCAGGGAGCACTCACACCCTCAGGCCTAGGACCGTTGAGCCCTGATCTCAGTGTCCTACACTATAGATCCAGCCATCTCTAAAGCTGCCCCAGCTATGACTCTGTGAGGCTTTGTGGGGACATTTAGACACAAGCCACAGCATTCCATCTGTGGCCCCCCAAGACTCATGCACATCCCTTTATGCAAAAGGCATTGGGCATATCTCTAACAGCTGCCGAAGTCCTAATACTTTCAACATTGCTTAAAAGACCAAGTTCAATGTCTCCTCTAAGATTTAAGGCACATTCTTAGCTGCAAGCCCCTATACAAATCAGAAAGTTAAACACTTCTAACATTCAATGGCACAAGACAGACATTTTCATTCCAAAAGTTACAAAAAAGAGACAGCAAAGAATGGGAACAAAGCAAGATCAACATCTAGCAGGGCAAACATTTAAATCCCCAGCAATCTGTGAACTCTAAATGCCTTGAGCGTCTCCAGTTCTACTGTACTTCTAGTAGTTGTAGCTCCCATGGCTTCTCTCTTCAGCTGGTTCTGCTCTTTCCTTACAGTTTTCCTCAGATGATCCATGTTCCTCAAGAGTTGTGGTCATCCTTTTTGGCTTTGCTACCTTCTGCCTACTGTGAACTGTTTATCTTTGGCAATGCCTGTCTGTCATGCCACCCTACCTTGGAGCCAGTCAATTAATGGACTGAAACTTTTAAGGCGGAATTTGGAACCAGAGAAGTGGGGTGAAGGCAAATTCTTAGCTGCAGGCCCCTATACAAATCAGAACGTTAAATACTTCTAACATTCAATGGCTGCTCAAGAATTCTGGAGTCTGGCCTTTTGGCTTCACACGCACAGCTTCACACACTGCCCTTTCAGGGGAACACTGGCTGGTCTCCCAGGCCTTCTTCTGAAATCTGAGACCACAACTTTTGACCCCACAACTTTTACATCTTGCATGCACCTAAAACCAACACCACATAGATGATGCCAAGTTCTGCCACCAGAAAAATGCAAACTTTCTGCCAAGCTATGACATCGTCTGGAGTCCAACAGCCAATGCAGTGCCTCCCAGCAGAGACCTCTGGAGCCTGGTGTCAGCAGCAGCATTTCTAGCAGACTTTTGCCCTTCTGAGCTCTGACCAGAATCTCCCATCAAGTACAGCCTAGAGCACTTGAGCTCTAATTTTTCAACTAGCATCTCCCAACCTTTCCAAACTCTTCCCACAAGCCAGCCCCAAAGGCTCCTAACCTCTTACAGCCATAGAAACAACCCAACTTCTCTGGTATCAAATTCTGCCTTAGCAACCACACAAAGTTAAAGGAGCAAAGGTTTATTTAGCTCACAATTTATAAAGCTTTCAGTCCATTACTGACTGGCTCTAAGGTAGGGTGGCATGACAGATGGGCATTGCTGAAGATAAACAGTTCACAGTAGACAAAAGGTAGCAAAGCCAAAAAGGATGACCACAGCTCTTTCTGTCCCTTATACCGTACCCAGGCTACTCAGAGCAGGTCGCACCCATACCCTTAATCCTGGTGCCCTTGAGCCACGCACTGTACCACAAATCAACTCCAATGTCACATACTCTAGCCACCTCTGAAAGAGCCCCACCCATGATTGCTTGAGACTTTGGGAGCAACCTAGACACAAGCCATAACAAATCGATTTGCAAAGAACAGAGAAACGCTACCTCTATAAAGAGACAGTACAAAATAAACTGAGATGTGCCTTGGACTCCATGTGTAGCAGCTAAGGAGCCTAATGGTAAAAGGAATGCCAAAAAGCAGGAATTTTCTGGCCACAACCTCTACTCCCATCTCCCACATCTTCTTACCTTGAAGGAAGCATGCTGCTCCATGTGGCGCAGCAACTGTGGCTTCTGGGCTGCTGTGTAGTCACACACTGTGCACTTGAACTGCTTTCCTAGAAGAAGCAAAAGACGAGGTGAGCATCAGGAGGATACCCGCTCCGGTATGTGAAGGAGCACCAGAAATTGAGCCGTCTCTTGCAGGTAGACACCAGAATTTCAGAGTGGACCTGGAAGGACAGGTACAAACGCAATGCAATGCACAAGGTAGAAATGGGAAGGAGCTAGCCAAGGAGGAAAGGAAATGGTAAGCTCTGCCTGGGAGCCCTGATAAACAACGCCACTCAAGCAGGCTCCTAAGGAAAGAATAGTAGTGTGCTCAGCTACCTAACCAGAAGGGTGTTGAGGATGAAGGGCACCGAGGAAGAGAGGCGCACACAGTTGAGAGCATGAATGCTCAGAGGAATGGATTACACGGTGGAAAAAGAAGTAGCTGGATCTTCCACCCAGCCTGTGAGATGCAGGAAGGCCAGAGCTGACCTGAGAGGCTGGGACTCAGACCACCAGGACCTCGAGCAGCTCACTAGAGATTCTGCAGTATGGCAATCTACAAGGCAAAAGACCTGTGTTGCAGCACTCCTAACTCTGGCAAGAACATAAGCAGCACTTTGAGGGTGTCCTAGAAAAAAAAACAATAAAAAATACAAAACATAGCTCTCTTAAGATGAGTCATGATTCAGCAACATTTAAAGGTTCAATAATAAGGTGAACAGGATTACATGTTATAACACATTCATGGCTATACAGGGCACAGTACACGGTGTTCCTGATTAGCATAAACAAAACCCCCATTTGCAGTGATACGAACACATGCAACTGAACAAAATATGACCAACTTCTGCAGTTGTAAATGATTCAGCAATCAGCTTGATGCAGTGGTGCAGCAGCATGGGTGATGGAAGCACAGCCTGAAACACGGCTCCCCGGAGACACGATCTCCTCCAGAGTGCCTTCAGTGCTCACCTTCTCAGACCAGAAAAGCGAGCCTTGCCTGCAGCTGCAGACTCTGTTTCCCTACTATGCACTCTAGAAGTCAACGAAAGCTGGACAATGCCACCAGCTGGCTCAATACCTGTTCTCATTAAGGCAACCGAGGACCCCAAAAGGCCACGCCACTGGCAAACATCGGTTCCTGGTTTCACCGGGTGACTCTGCTTAGAGTCTGCCACCAGCCATGCTCTAGCAATCTGCTCCCTCGACTCACAACACCACAGCCTCTCTGAAGCTCTCTGACCATTCCTTCCGAGGCTGCCTGCAGCAGGCCCTCCTGTCAATCATCTTTTATACACTGATGTCTCACAGAGTTCTAGCTCAGACTCCTTTCTGTGCAAGCATCCTCGCCAGGAATATCTTTTACAGGTGTAGAACATTTTTAATGCCAAAATTTGCACCTTCTACTCTGAACCCTTCCCTGAACAGGAGACACAAGTCCCCAGCTGTCTGCTGAAGTGGACCTTATCTGCCCCAAAAGTCCTAAGCTGAACTAATTATCTTCCTCACAAGATGGGTTCACTTTCAACTCTCCCAGTTTGGCCCCATCTCATCAGGCAAGCAGGGCACCTGAGAGCTTTCTTCAAGATCTTTATGGCCATGCCTTTTATTCATCTTGTTTTTTACAACACGTGTTTCAATCTCCTCTTTTGTCTACTTCTCTCCATTTTAACCCCTCCCCACTGGTTTAGGTCCTTCTTATTTTTTTCCCTAAACTATTATACAAAACCCTAAACTGTACCCCTATTCAGGGATCTTTCCTGTCCACCCACCAATCCATCCACATATACATCCTTCTCCCATCACCCACCAATGGGCCTGATGCCTAACGAAGTTGAAGTCTCAGGGCACAGCACAAAATGTTGTTTTTCAGAATCAGGGGCAATGGCCCCACCCACTTGGTTGACTTCTTCTTGTGCCTGTCCCTTTTTGTCTGGACTCTGTCACATTGGGTCCATTCTCATTAACTTTCTGCCTCACTTTTAGTCTCAGGGAAATTTTCTGCTAAAAATTTTCCATGTCTAAGATGTGCTACCTCTTGTCAACTGGCTTTCTTCCTTTAAACTCAAACCCAAGTTGAACAGAATCTCTGGTAACGGGGCTCAGAGCCGGCCTCTCCACAAATCCTCACTGCACACTGCCACACACCTCAGTCTGTTTCACCTCTGCAGAATTTTGCCATTAGCTGCCCTTGGGCAGGAACTATGTCTTACACTTATCATTGATGTCAGCATTTTTGTGCATGCAAATATTGAATATATTCCACACATTTTACTCAGTTGAATTGTACAAAAAACAAACAGGAAAGTCTGTGCATCTTACATGAATAATGCTCTTGATAAGAAATGGGAAAAACCTCAACCAAATGCTATAAACACATAATTAATACAGTTAAACCTATAATCCTAAATGGATGAGCCCTAAATTCTAGATTTTAGTATTCCAAGTCCAATGTGTAGGGAATTTTTTCACATTTTAAGGCACATGGTTATAACTAGAAAGCAATTAAAACTTTTTCTTCAAGGATGATATTTTTCTAAAAGATAAGGCCATGAACTTGCACACCCCAATGGTACGATCACAGCCACACACACTTCTACACTAATACACGATGCAGATAAATAGGTTATCATTGTTCCAGACAGCTTGAGAATAATGATGTTTGGGTTCTTCTTACAACAGTGACATAGGAGCACTAATAGAACCATTCTCTGAGGTGATAAATATCTTTACACTCATTATCAATCACTCAGATCAAAGAGTAAAAGCTACACACTAAGAGAGCCCAGAAGTGAATGACTGGAACTGCCTTGTCTGCGCTCAGAAGGAAGCCTGTGCAGAGCTCCTACCAAGACTCTGCAAGACCAATGAACAGAAGGCTGCTCCTGCAAGCTGTGCTGATGGAGGCAGAGGAGCCCTGGCAATAAGCTCCAGCAGTGTTCTCAGCAACCACTGACAGCCCAAGTCAAACAGTCCCAGGAGAGCGCTGGCCATAATCTTTTGTTCCCTAATTGGAATAATGGAATGGCAACTCATGACTCATCATAAAGAAGCAATGTCTTGAAACTAGAAGGTTGTATTCTACAAAGAGAGTCCTCAAAATTGCAAAGCAGACTGAAAGATCTAATATTTACCCAGGTCAGACTCCCTACAGGGCTGGGGGATGAACATCAAATGAATGTATGTGAATGTGAATCACAGAGGGTCCCAGGAAAAGGAAAAAAAAATTATAAAATTTTAAAAAGATTGATTTTTAAAATCACTGACTTTTCTTAAAACCTACGTGGCTAGGGCCACCTACTGAACTACTGGACATCATGCCCTGCACAGGGTGAGATGCACAGCCTCTCTGCATGCACGCCAAGGATCCAGGCAGCATTACCCGTTGATATACGGGGAGCTAAGACTACGGGTCTAAGTGGCTTTCCAGGTCACGAGGTGGGAAGCACTGGATCCCGCCCCTAGCCTATTCTACCCCGAAGCCCTATTCGCGGCCACCTAGCATCCTTTCAGGTAATGGGGGAGACACATATTCCCTAAAGGAAAAGGAATGCGCAGCGGCAGTAAGCACATCCACACCACTCTCACACAAAAGTGGCTTGCCCAATGGGATGGCAGGCCAGCAGGGAGGGCCAGCAGAAAGGGGCCGCTGGCAAGGGAAGGGTGCTCCCTGTCTGCTCTGTCCAAGTCGCCCTGCACAACTTTAGGCTCTTTTATTCTTCCACTCAGAGGTCCTGGTAGAAACAGTGAGATGACCACCCTGCCTGCTGCAGGCTGGCTCAGGCCTAGGGGCTAATGGGGCCCTGAAAAGCACCCCTGAGCGCTGAGGGGAGGGGAGAATGCAGGAGGCCAGCAGGAGACCAGCAGCAGACCTTCACTGCAGCAGCCACCGCAGCCAGTTGGCAGTTCCTCTCTGTCCTGCTACTTTTTAATTTTTAGCTCCTTGGCCCCCTGAGAGACAATCCAAGAATCAGTTCCAATTAAGCCAGCCTAAATCAATACACCTAAAGCAACATGAAGCAGGGGGAACACTTGGGAAACTGTAATAAAGAGAAAGCAGCAATAAGAGCAGGGATTTTAGAGGCCCTCTCCTCCTCCCCCGCAGGCACCCTGCCCTTGTTTCCACCCCGGCCAGACGGTGACTGCAGGCTCTCTGCGGGCTCAGCACCCTCAGGTCTTCATGCCAGTGTCACCTTCTCATTGAATCCTTCCAGAGCCATCCTGATAAAGTGACAGCCCCACCCCCTGATCTGATTCATTTTTAGCATCTTAAAGCTTATGATATTTCTGTATTAAAGCTGAATCATTTCATATTCATATTTTTTACTTTTATATCTCAATTTTTTTCAACAACTGAAATGTTTTCATATTTCCATTGTAAAGTGGCCTTTTTTTATTGATATGTAGTATATTTGTCATTTGTCTCAGGAGAAATTCTGGCGTGATGAGAGTGGAGGATTTGGTTTCCGTGACTGGTGGTGTGATTGGTGGTGTTCACCAAGGGAACCAAACTGCCTAGTATCCAGCTCAGCTGCCTGCCTGGTCTCAGTGGTCTGCCCGGCATCCTCCCAGAGCATGGACACCTCAGGACCCCCGTGTTCTTTAAGTGCTGAGCAGGGAGCCGCACTGCAGATACGGGCAGCACGACGTGGCAGGAGCACCTGGCCGGAAGCCCGTCAGCTCCCTAGTTCTTATCCAGGTCAGCATCATTGCAGCCACAATGATAGAGCTGCTGCGCAGCCCTGCTCACGTCCACCCCCAACTCACCGTCTCAGCCACAGGCCCTCAGACCGCCATAGGCAAGCAGCCCACACTGAACCAGCCACGGAAACTGGCCAGACTTGAGGCATACACTCAGGAGCCACTGTGGATAAAACAAAGAAACAAGCCACTCTGCAGCAGGGCAGGCCAGGCCACAGCAGAGAGGCAGACGGGGCATCAGCAGAGCTAAAGGAGGCAGGTGCTGCAGCCACCCCATCTGCCGCATGCATTCGCTCAGCATCACCAGCAGTCGCTGCATGTCAGGAGTCAGGACTACGCCTACCCCAGGAGACCAGAGGGCGTG